TGCTGAAACTTTGTCTATGCAAGCCTAAACAGTTTAAGCTGATCGTGAGCCCTGAGTTCTCACAACCCATAGTGAGCCCTGAACTAAGCTTTGAATGAAAGCCTGGAAAAGAATGATAGAACATCCAGACAGTTCTGAAATCACCATGGTGCCAGATTGTCTTCCCTCTTGATCAATAAGCGGGAAGCCAATCTTTTTTTTTTTCCTTTGGAAAGAAGTTGCAGAATTGGGGTGCTGTTGTTTCTGGAAAAGCTCTGCTTTGAACATCCAGCAACTCCCTTCCTGGGCAATAGAAGAACTAAAGGAATTGATTCCAAGGCTGCCATGACAAGGAACCAGTTTGACAAAAATCAAAGTGCCACCTTTTGAAGACCTGCAATATCCAGTTTTCAGGGATGGTCTTAAAAAAATATAAGGAATAACTGATGAAGGAATGAATCACTATGACCAATTCATGATGATGATGATGATGATGATGATGATGATTTTGATTTTGATTTTGATTTTGAAGATTCCATTCAGCCAAGTCTGACTCTTGGCAATTCTATGCCCAGGTTTCTCCACATCTTCTGATCTTGCACTATTTTTTAGTTTTTCTATGCTCTAGCTGGTGTCAGCCCCTGTAATCTTTGACTGCCTGGTTTCCTTTTATCATTTACAGCCAATTCTTACCTGCTCACAAAAGGATGCAGCTGGCACCCCAGATGATCCTGAGCTGAAGTTTTGCAACTTCTATCAGCTGAGAACAGCACTGGAACCACAAGCTCTACTTCACGTCCTTTAAAGGCATATTTTTTTTAGAAGAAGATTGTACTTCAGTTCCAGTTCTGGGAATATATAGATTCCACTGACCTCCATCATGTCTTCTTACTTGTCTGCATATCGGAAATTAACTGGATCTGTTAATAAGCACTCAGCAGACAGAGAGCTATCAAGAGTTGGAAGAATCGTGCAGAATTGTTGAATGTGTTTTCAGTCAAGGCACAGCTTAAATGCACAAGGGCCTCAGGATTTATTTAATTTTTTTATGGATGGGAGTCTTCAGTTTGCCCGAACATCAGAAGCATGAGAAGTGAAAACAAACTCCCTTAGTTTAAAGTTTAATTTCCTTATGACTCTGAAACAAAAGTGAACCCTATGTCCAGTGGTGGAAAGAGGGAAGGCAAGTGAATAGAATAATAAAAGAGAGGAAAAGGTGCTTCCAGGGACTTCTAACTTGGTACTGCCTAGATTACCATGTGGTCTTGGACAAAGAACTCCCAAGAGAATGTACACCTTAACCCCTAAAATGTTTCTGGCCCTTGCTCTGCTGTCCTGGCACAATGACCTTTCTAAATCTTGGAGGGGGGGCTTCCCAAACAGCACATGAATACTCAGCTCATGTCTTTGTTCCTGCAACTGTTGTGGTCTGCCAGCAGCCTGCAGAGCTGGCAGCGTAGTCGGACAGTGAGGAGGCTGGGGAGGAATATGGGCCAGGCCTGGAGTCTGGGGAAGGCCCAGACAAGGGCTCTGCATCGGAGGCAGAGATAGGGCCAGGGCAATCTGGGAGTGATGCGCAGACTCCAGAGTCCCCAGAGTCAGACAGCAGAAAGGCAGAGGAACAGGAGGAGCCTGTTCCTAGTGCGTGCATGTGCAGATCTTCCAGAAGGCAAGAGCACCTTAAAGCAAAAGGGACGACTCAGGAGTAAGGCCAGGAAATGATTGGCCCCTCCCATAGGGCTTAAAAGAGAAATAAAGGTACTTGGGCTTTTTGCAGGAAAGCAATATTGCTAACTCTGTTTCCAGTTGGCATCTCTTGTTTGTTTCTGAACCTCGTGTGGCTTTGGCAAGTAAGGCCTTTGGCAGGGTGTCAAAGAAGATAAAGGTTGGTGATTATCCCGAAGGACTTCTTCTGAAGGACTCATTTTGCAACTAATTGGGACTCAGCTGGGAATGAACATAATTCTTAGCTGTTACAATAAAATAGGTTTATTTGGGACTAATTGTGTCTTGTAATGACTCAGTAAGCCTAGGTCACAACAGCAACTAGAGAGCGATACTTAAACAGCCCTGTATGTATCTGTTGAGAAGTAAGTTCTATTCATTATGATGGGGCTTGTTCTCAGATGAGTATTGATTTCAGCTATCTAAATATTGATACAGGTTGGGACTTCCAGGGAAGAAATGGCAAAATGAATGTATCTCCCCTAAAAGCAGAGCCAAAGACTATGGTAGAATAAAGACTGGCTTTTTGAAATTCCTCTCCAGCCAAGGAGAGAACTTGAGATAGCCCATAAGTCTTCCAGACAGTCATGAGATGACTGCGAGGCGGTGGTCTCCAGTAGATTTAGAGTTCTTGGAAATGAGGGAAAGTCACCTTCATTCAAATCACAATCAACACCTTTAGGAACACATGGTTTGCAAATGTCGTTTTCTAATCATGTTTAGAAATTGCTTGTTAACTGCCTTTCAGTTATTAGGAACCAAGTAAGTTTAGTTTTTAGTGAAATCAATTTAAGGGTTTTTTAAAAAATCTTTTCTTTTGGAATAAACAACAAGAGGGTGATTAGACCAATGGAAAGATAAAATGGTCTAAAGGTCCAGTGGGATTTGAAATAAGATTTTGAAGTTTATTAAGAATCCTTCCCATGGGAAAACAAATGCTGTTGTTTTGAATTCTAAAAAAAAAAAAAAACATGATCAGATGGGACTTTAAAGATTGGACACTGAGATTGGACAATTAAAGAAGAACACTTGAATTTGATTTACTAATATAGGCTGGAGCAAAATACTTCAACATTGGATGTACTGAAAGATATTTGTGAACAATGAATCAAGAACTTAATTTTAAGAGTTTTTGCCTGTATAGACAGACTGCATTTAGAAGATGTTATGGAAGAGGAAGTAGCATTACCAGGCAAAACTGAGTCTGATTTGAAAGTGGATTTAAACACGAGAGGTAACAAGAATGATATGGAAAAGATGCTATACTATAAATATAAATGAAACTGCCTTATGTCTTAATAATGAAAAGGGCTATAATAACAAATAACAAACCAAAAGTGACCTGGATAACTTTCCTGCCTTGAATTTGCCAAATAGATTTGCTAAACTTTTGAAGAACTATGTGAGAAGGGACAGAGAGAAAAATGAAAAGAAATCAAGTTTTATTATTTGAAGGGATTAAAGTTCAAGTTTGCTAAAAGTAAAAGGAAGGAATATATGGTTGATTTATTTGACCAAGGTTAACATAGATACATTGTTATCTTGGATAGCCCTTAATGGACTTTTGCTGACCAGAACTGAATGAGAAGGCTTTAAGGATTTATTTATAGATAAGATATGAGACATGGAAGGAAGAGATTTTTGTTCTATTTTAAGAGAAGGTGATAAGTTACTAAAATTGTTTACACTTATTGTGATGAAGGGGGAAGTCATATCTTTACATATTTCATTTTTTCTTTACTGTATTCTCTTTTTTTTACTTTCTTTTTTACTTTTCTATCTTTTCTGCATTTCTACTTTTTCTATTATTATTTTAGTTTATACTAGTTTGTAACTTTTAGTTGTTATATTTAATAAAATTAGTATAAAAATAAATATTGGCTGTACTTTTTGTGCCAGGGAGAGAATGAGTTATATGTTCTTAAGAACCTTGTCAAACCAATTTAGAAAATCAGTATCTCATTGGCATAAACTCTATTTTTATGTCCATCATTGTGAATAGTTGCATAATTACATATTATTCTGTTTTATTCACAGCTGCAAGAGAGTATTTAGCCTACAAGGAACAAACAGGCAGAATTCAGATCTGTTTTTGAATGGCAGCTATAATTTTCTTCACCTATAATCTGTCACATCATCCCATCATGTCTAATTACAAGCACTGATGAGGTTTTGTCACTGTTGCAGGATTACTTTCTATTTAGATGAACTAAAAATATGTGCTACAAGAAATCTTTTTTATCATATTTTTGTGTTACTGTTTGGAGTTTTCTTACTCATATTATTGTATGTACTTGGACAATACAAAGGGTTTAGAGTACTTAACATTTATAAAGAGTAGTGAAATGAGTTACAGTTGGAGAAAAGCTAGTATGTAATTTCTTTTACAGGATGAATGTAAGCTTACATTATATGTAATAATGTATATCATTATATACATTATTATATATAAGCTTTTGTAGGTTGATCTATACATTCCAAATACCTCAATTAACAATAGGTAATTCCATATCCACATTTTGTTGACTACACACAACATATAAAACCAGAAAGCGCGGTTTACAAATCACAGAGGCTCACTGTGATTTGCAGACAAACACTATATAGGAGCAACTATGACTCTGTGCCAGTTTTTTAAAAAGCAACCTTTTGCATAACTATAGATATATTGTACTCTATGAACTGCTAGGGAAAGGCCAGCTTAGCTTTCTTCCTGCCTACAGACATTCCAAGCTCCACTGTCTCTTTGGGAAGCAGCAGCCCCTTTTTCCTGAGAGTCCAGATTACATCCCATCATCTGATGGTGAACAGAAATCAGTTGGAGTCTTAAAGCTTTTAACAACTTGCACTCAGCCTGTAAACATAGGTTAATATACACTGCTCAAAAAAATAAAGGGAACACAAGCAGAAGACATCTGAGATCTGAATGAATGAAATAGTCTTATTAAATATTTTGTTCGTTACATACAGTAGTTTTGTGTTCCCTTTAGTTGTTTGAGCAGTGTATAAACTACTGTATGTAAAGAATAAAGTATTTAATAAGGCTATTTCATTCATTCAGATCTCGGATGTCTTCTGCTTGTGTTCCCTTTATTTTTTTGAGCAGTATATTTTGTATCACAGAAACAATACCAGTCACACAGTCTGTTTTCCAATGAAAATGAACCCCGAGAAATAGCTGGTATCCATCCGGAAACTTCTCATCTCTCTAAAATGGATGCTATGTGCATCATAATATTGTTTTATTTACTTGATCCTTTCTTACTTCTAGGAATAGTAATAACAATCCTACTTACCCATGTTTTTTGATATAAGACCAAGCGTTGCTTATGCTTCCTCCTTTGCAGCCATGCTGATTCTTGATGGCACAAGAGACCAGATTCTGAGGCGAAAGGTTGTCTGTGAAACGGCCTTGGGAATGAATTGCTATTCTGTCTGCAGCCACACCTATTCAATGGGAAAGGATCAGGTGTCAATTATAAAGTTCCCTGCGTGAGAGGCAGTACTAAATCATTGAAATGGAATACATAGAAGCAGCCAGCATTCCTTAATTTTGGTAGATTACTGTGAAGATACAAGAGCCTTTCAAAGGATTCTCATAAAATTGGGGATATTCTTTGATCGTTAGATCAAAGAGAACCAGCTGTTTGGTTTGTTGTTGTTTTTTTTTCAGAATTATAGAATAACAGAGTTGGAAGGGACCTCGGAGGTGTTCTAGTCCAACCCCCTGCTCAAGCAGAAGATCTTTGGCCAATGAATAGTCAAGAATTAAACCTATGATGCCCCAATATAGTTGCCCTACAAGAAATGCCATATATTTACTATATCTAACAAAATTCTCTATTGTTAAAACTGGGTTACATCAATATGGATGAGTTAAGAAGTTAGTTCCATTCCATTTTTATAAGATCTTATCCATAGTCACAATATTCTTTATAAAGAACATCTATTTCCTGTATCTGATTGCATACTTTTATTGCATATTTTTTTATCGCACATAAAGAATCTATTGAGTTTGAGGCTAGCATTTTTGATTTTTTTTTTCTCTGAAAGGGTTATAGGGGAGAAATACTCTTGCTGTTCTTTTTCAAAAGAAGCAATCTAAAAAGGAAGGAGAAACAGAAAATAAACTGGAATTGCATGCTGTCTTTTTAAATGCACCTAGCAAGAAGTCAAGAGTAAGTTTAACGCAGGTATAGTTCAATCACAGTTCTAGGGATCAAGAATGTAGCCAAAAGAACACATTACTTGCAGTGGAAAATGCCCAGGATGCTGCACAGTTTCTTTGGTCCAAAGGATCATGAATCCAGCCTGGCCATTCATAGGAAGCCACAAAGAATCCGGGGAAGTCTGCAACAGCTGCTGTGTTTTCCTAAAGAAATCAAACATTTGGGTGCAGAACACTATAGGACTCAAGGCTGCCCCACTGAAGTACCCACAAACAGAATCATCTCAGAAAGTCTTGTTCATCCTCTTCCCCTTCAAGCTGCATATACAGACTGTCATTACTGACCACTGTGAACATCCCCCATATATTCAAGCAATGTTTGTCCTTCAATGTCGGCCAAACAATGTTGACTGGCGGCCCCTAGGGGGAGAGCCTTCTCTGTGGGGGCACCTACAATCTGGAATGAGCTCCCCCCGGAGATACGGAGGATCCCGGATCTGCGCACCTTCCGTCGCGCGCTCAAGACTTTCTTATTTCATCAAGCTGGCCTGGCCTAAATCTTTTCCCCTTTTAAATGCAAATTTTAATTTGTTTTTAAATTATTGGGTATTTTAAATTTGCCTCAGCCAAATTATTTAATTCGTTTTTATTCTATTTTAAATGTTTGTATTTATGTGTTTTATTCTGTGGCTGTTCACTGCCCTGAGTCCTTCGGGAGTAGGGCGGTATATAAATCCAATAAATAAAATAAATAAATAAAATGAACTAGTTGTGTGAGGCAGGAGAGGGGCCACAATAAAGTAGCCATGACCAAACAGGTGGGTGATAGGAGAGAACAGAATTTTCTTACGAGCTGTAGAGATTTTTCATGTGCTGTGACATTATTTTTATCCAAATGAAAATACATGCCAATACATACAAGGCAATAAATCAAAGAGCTACCAACACAGAGCAACAGGTTAACAGTAAACAACTGTCTAATCAAGAACCAAGACAATGCCCACCAACACAGACAGAGCAAGCCACTGGTATATAAAAAGAGAGCAAACCCCATTCCCTGCTAGCACTGATGGCATTACCTAGTTTGATACTGAAATGTCTGCAAGAAAACAACCAAGCTCAGAGATCATCAAGGACCCCACAAAAATCATTTTGAAGACGTTTGGAACATTTGGTGTTTTTGGATCCTCCTGGAAAATCCTTTAGCAAGAAGGCTTTGCACATTGTTATTAGCTTTGTGGCAGTTTACAAAGAGCAGCGGAAATGTATGATTTTCTGATGTTGAACTATACTTCCAATCCTGAAGGACGAGAGCTGTACTTCAACAACATCAAGAGGAAAACAGATCCGTTATTCTTGAGCTACAGTGAGGGGCAGATATAATGGCACTCTCAAAATAGGAAACAGAGGAAAGTCTACATTTCATTACAAATATTTATCCGAGTAAAAATAATCAAGTGGGGGTGGGGGGGGAAACAATAATAGGAAAGATTTGTGGTCTTGATTATCAACTGCCTATAAATGATACATTCTTTGGGTGTTATACACAAAAAGATCTATTATCTACAGCATGAGTGTCCAACATTTTGGCTTGCTTGGGCTGCATTGAGTGAAGAGGAATTGTCTTGGGCCACATAGAAATATATATGTACATAAATACATAAGAATGGTAAAAGTTTGTGGGGCTACATTACTAGCTATCCAGGCCCACCTGCCGCCTATGGGCCACAGCTGGGACATGCCTGATCCTTAAGTGATGTTTGTACTTTGAATAGAAAAGAGAGAAAATGGAGCTACCGTGACAGGTTGCATGTCCAGCAGGGCAGCCGATGGATGAAATGTGCCAAGGCGATAACTGAAACCTTCTTTCAAGCTCATTCCCCAGAACTGACTGTAGTTATCAGCTTTCCATCTGTCTCACAAATAGATAGAATGCATCGGGTTTGTATGTATATTTGTATATAAAGGTGTTTGTTTAAAACATGGCTGTTTTAAACTCTGCATACTTCAGAGGTGCTATCATTTACAAATCTTTTTCCAAATTTCATTTCGTGCAACTAGTTGATGCTAATAACAATAAAGATGATTATTTTTTCCTACAATCAGTGTGCTTGAAATCAACACAATTATTTCAGGATTCTGGAACTTATGAAGCATGATGGTTGATAGTATGAATCTGTCCCATGATTTTGCATTTTTATTTTTTCATTGATAATTTTTGATTTGACATGGACCTAAACAAACAAACAAAATTGTGGCCCAGGGGAGGGATGGGACCATCCAGGAATCCTTAAAAGGTCAGTTTCAAAATTCGACTGATCCTAAAAAATTCTAAAGATTCCGTAATGATCCCATCCCTTCATGGGCTAATCACCTTACGAACGTTCTTCAAATAATAAGAGCAAAAATGGGAAAGCTGCGATGAAATGCAGGATCTTCTTCTCCTCCACCCACATCATAGCCAGTAGTTATGTTAAAAGTGATCTGCTTGGCTAGGTCAATTAAAGTTCAAGCAATTGCATTCATTCACACCACATATTGAGCTTGGTTGATTTGGATTTTTATTAGGGCTGTTTTGGGTAGAGGTAGTCCCCAATTTACAACCATTAGTTCAGCAACCCAGAGCTTCCCCCACCCCTTATGGCACCCCATGTTCTGCATAATGACTGCAATGGGGAGAGCTACACGGGTGCCTTGCTTAATGACAGCAACAACCTAATGACCCTAATTCTGGGTTCAATTGTGATTGTCAGTGGAGAACTACCTTTACGTGTTTGGCTTAGAATACTCTGAGAACAAAGCCTGCTTGGTTAGTTCATGATTCAGTATACTGTGTGTATTTTAAAAAATGGTGTAATTCAGTTACAAAGTTGGACGCGTTGTGTGAACCTAGCTGATGCGAGGGTGGGGTTGTTGTTTTTTTTCCTTTTTGAAATTTAAAGTGACTCACTCAAAATTGCATATTTTGAACACCGTCTCAAATAGGTCTGCCTTGTGATAAAACTGCTCAAGATTGCAGCCACAATTAGCTATGAAAGCCCCTAGTTAACATATATAAAAAAGGAACAAAATTTGATCCTCGGTTGAGGTTGTCACCTGGACTTTTTCTATTCCCCTGATCTGATGGCACCATATTTAAAAAGTTGGTGGCAGTGTAATCTTTCATATTAATAAATAATAGAGCTCATTTCTTCAGATGTATAGATGATTATTCTCAGTTAATAATTATAAATTCATAAGGACAGAGTATTATTAGAAAGTGAAGCCAAAAGAACTGTAAATTTCTGATAAGAATTTTTTTTTTTTCTGGATGGTGGTGCATAAACCTATCAAAGAAGGTTGTTATCACAGCAGGAAACTAAAATTACGATTGATGTCAATATTTTTTCCCCCTCTCCTGTGAACTCAATTAGATTAGAAGTGGGGGGGGGAGAAAATCTTGGTAATGTGCCTGTAGCACATTCTGTCATTACATGATTAGGAGGACCACATAGATTTCTATCTCACGGAATAAGTAACGAGTTGTGGAAACAGAAAATCATTCCTTTTTGCAAATTTCTAACATTTGCAAACCTAGAACTCTGGATGGTTTCAGCTTTGTTGCTGTTTGGTGATTAACTGATTTTGTAGATTTATTTCTAACATTAAAATACGTTAGAAAACCTGCATGTATGCACAGAATTCATATGTAGCACAGGCATTCACAAGAATTAGTATATCCTAACAATAACCCACTTGATACTTTCTCTGTAAATAAAGGGGAAGCTGTTTGCATCAGAGTCACACAAATCAAAATGCTTACCCGTAGGTCCCACTGTTGATTTGCTCAATTAATTTGGGCTGAATGAGGCACATTTCATTTGTGCATCTCCAATGACTGTCTACACACTCGCTGAAAGGAAGGGAACACAGAATAGCTTTTAATGAAAAAACGAAATTATGAAGAACCAAACACTGCATAAGTAGATGATTCTGAAGGGATCTGCTTGTGAAATTTTCATGCTCACATAGCAATAGCAATAGCACTTAGCTTTATGTACCACTTCACAAAGCTTTATGGCCCTCTCTAGGCAGTTTACAAAGTCCTCATATTGCCCCACCATCTGGGTCTTCATTTTACCGACCTCAGAAGGATGGAAGGCTGAGTCAACCTTGAGCCCGTCAGGATCGAACTCCTGGAGGGAACAGTGAATTACCCCTGCAATACTGCATTCTAACCACTATGCCATCATGGCTCTTGTATGCCACAAACGTAAGACTTAGCCAGGAAATCTAGTGCACCTTTTGAAGAGCAACTATCCTAATTGGGAGGAAGTATCAAGCAGGGAATTAGCCTGGACTCATTATGTAAACACAAGATCTGACACCCCCTGAATGCCTTTCAGCTTTATCTAGTCTTTCCCAGGAGAACCTGCCAGTCTGGAAAGATTCCTATGAAATAGGCAATAGAACAATAAAATAGCTAGCTTAAACTCTTTCGTGTGTGGGTCTGCCTGACAGCATCTTACTGGTTTTGGTGTCTTTTCCGTTTCTTTTTCCAGTGTAAATATTTATTAGGGTAGGCAGCTTCAACTCCAAATTGCGTAAATGTACTCCTACAGTACCAGTTTATCCGCATTGTAGCACCAGCAGTACAGCAAGATATTCGCAAGTAATTCATGGGTTGTTTTGATGCAGGCTGGCGACCCTTTACAAAAATGCTTTCTCTTTAATTTGTGTATATTAATGTGAGTGTAGGATGATAGGCGTTTTAATCACTTGTATCAATGAAGATTTTTTATTCCTTTCTCTTAGGGACATTACCAACGGTTGCAGTTATCTTTAAATGTTGCTCCTTCTTCATAATGCTGGCCATCTTTGAAGCAACCTGCCAACACAATACATAGAAAAAGGAGGTAATAGTTAGAAAATTGCTAGTGAGGCTGTTGTGTGCAATCAACCCCAAAAATAGCGCTCCCACCTTTGGTCATGTCAAGTAGAAGGCTTAATTTTTTGCATCAGTGAACTGAATTAATAATTTATCCTTGCAGAAAAAGAATGAATTAAAGAAAAAGAATATCTGAAAAGGGTGCTCAGAAACATGCCCTCTAGTGCAACCCTTGTAATGGTATTTAAGAGTCATTCTACTTCCATTAACGTTGCTTCTATTGCTTTCCTGAAGTACAGTTTTCTGAAAATAACTTCTACTTTTCCTTCTCTAATCTTATGCTTTGTTCTTCTTTTAAAAAGCCAGTTTGGTGTAGTGGTTAGGGCACCAGGCTAAAGACTGGGAGACCTTGCGTTCTAGTGCCACTATAAGCGCAAAGCCAGCAGGATGACCTTGGACCATTCACTTTCTCCCAGCCCTAAGAAGCTGGCAATGGCAAACCACTTCTGAAAAACCTTGCTAAGAAAACTGCAAGGACTTGTCCAGGTAGTCTCCAAGAATCAGACACATTTGAATGGGGGAAAAAAAATCTTTAAATAAATCTTTAAATAAAACCTTGAAGATATTTACAAGCAGGGCCTAAAACATATTTACTTCTTGTTTAATTGTGAATGTAATATAGTTGGCAATGTAGTCTGTTTGCTGTGGCTCACAAATGTAACTATTAGCACAATCTGAACTCCAGAATTTGGCAGCTAGACATAAACTAGGCAATTGCCCTCCTAGTTGTCTTTTTATCTTTTTCAGAGCCCAAACATCTACAGAAATTACCTAGAGAGATAGGGATTATGACCTTCCTTTCCAGCCCATGTGGTTCTATTTGATTGAAAGTGTCCAAGGTGAGATTCAACTATACTTGAAGGAACTAGATCAGTGATGGCGAACCTTTTTGCCGTTGCGTGCCAAAAGCAGGGGGAGCGCAGGGGGGCGTGTACACATGCCCACACTCATAATTCAATGCGCCCCACCCCCCACGCATGCATGCGTGATCCCCCCCATGCTCCCCACTCTTTTGGCATGTGATGGCCCGGTGGGCCCGGTAAGCCTGTTTTTCGCCCTCCCCAGGCTCCAGAGGCTTTCTAGGAGCCTGGGGAGGGCGAAAATGGCCTTCCCCACCCTCCTGGAGGCCCTCCGGAGCCCAGAAATGGCCCATTTGCTGACTTCCGGTGGGCCCAGAAGGCCCGAAAATCAGCTGGCCGGCGTGCGCATGCACGCCAGAGCTGAACTAGGGCAACGCTTGCGTGCCCACCGATATGGCTCCGTGTGGCACCTGTGGCATGCGTGCCATAGGTTTGCCATCTCAGAACTAGATAATAATCCTTGGTTCTCTCCATTTCCCTCCTGCTTAACCATGAAAGCCAGCTGGGTGACCTTGGGCCACTCATTCTATCTCAGTCCAACCCACCTCACAGGGTTGTTGATGTGTAGGAGGGGGAAGGTGTGTTGGATATATTTGCCACGTTCAGTTATTTGTAAAAAAATAATAGCAATAGCACTTAGACTTATACACCGCTTCATAGTGCTTTTACAGCCCTTTCTAAGCAGTTTTACAGAGTCAGCATATTGCCCCCAACAATATGGGTCCTCAATAAAGCAGGATACAAATAAATAAAATTATATAGTTCTCCCCATTTAGCAGAGAGCCAAGTCATAAAACTTCCAGGTTTAGCATTTTGCAAAAAGCCCATTTTTTCTGTCCCCTAAAAATAAATAAACAAATAAATAAAAATCTGGTCCACCTCCTAAGATTTCATATTAGTCCCTTAATCTCTGCCCAATATTCTGCTGCCAAACAATCCTATCTCTCCATCAGAATTCCCAGCACAAAACAACAATATCAAAATAATAATACATTAGTGTGGCATATCTGTAATGAGGTTATAAACACATTAACTGAATCCCCAATTGCCAGCACACTCACATGCCTCCCTCAGGGGTCTCCCATGCATCTCTCCTGTTACTCTGATCATGATTTCTTCAAATCATGATGGCCTTGCCTGGCATGTTGCCGGCCAAAATGGAGCTTCCAAGTGGCGGATCCACCCCTCTGATGCTCTGTTTGGGCTTCCAGAGGCCGGGGGAGGCCTACGGAAGCCCAAACGGAATGTCAGAGGGGCAGATCCGCCCCTCAGAAGCCCCATTTCGACCTGAAACATGCAGGATGAATGTTGCAGAGCCTCAGCAGTTGTTTGTAAGGGTGAACAACTGTCATGGAGTTGCAAGATTCGTAGTTTCAGGACTTGTTCATAAACACTAGGGGGCGCTTATTGTGTAACTTCAAACATTCGCTAAGGGAATGCTCATAACCCAGGGATTACCTGTACCTATGCCTTTTCTAGATTTAAGGCATAGAGTGTTGTAAGTTCATCAGAAACAGTGGTGGGTTGCCCCCAGTTCGGACCAGTTCACAAGAACCGGTAGTAAAACCGGTGGGAGGTTCCACCCACTGACCCGGATGTCATCATAGAAGATCTGCGCATGTACAGAAGCTTCTGTTCATGTGCAGAAGAGTGTATGTGCAAGCAAAGCGTGTAGGCATGATGCAAACCGGTAGTAAAGATAAGTAGAACCCATCCCTGATCAGAAACTAAACTTAAATTCATGTTCTCATTTATTGCTTCCCTGTTTATATATCCCTATGTGCTGCTATTATTTCTCCTATCTGAAATTTCGGATTGTAAGCACTCAGGGGATCAACCAGCTCTTGGCAAAACATCTGGAAAACTGATAATGTTAAATAAATGTGTGGAGGAACACAGTCTCTAATAGAATCGTTTTAGCTGGACCAGGATCTTTAGTAGTAATAAAATTCCTATCATTTGCTGGCCACTGTGGAAACATTTGTAGATACTGCAAAATCAAAACAATAATAAATCCCTGCCCTCTACCAAAGACGTTCTCTTGTTTCTTGCTTGAATAATTTTATATTGTTCCTTTTTTAGCAGATCTTTTTTTTTTAAAAAAAAAAAGAATCATTTTTTTGTGCCCATGCCTTACTACAGGTCCTCAGGAAGTGTGACATTCTTCAGGAAAGTAAGTTCCATTGAATTTACTAAACTTACCAAAGATCTGGACAGGAATCTTCTGATATGATTCTAGTCATACCAGGAAGCTTCAGCCCCAATTAACAGTAATTAAACATTCTCCAACCTGGGCTTCTCTTGGCAAGGAGAGCTGCACAGCAGACTGCCAGCTTGAAGAAAATGCACTGATGAGGTTGGGCTATCATGCTTTGGGAAACTGCCAAATGCAATTTGTACTCAATAGGGATTACAGAGCTTGATTTAGGAGGAGAGAAAGTACCTTTTATTTATTTTTTGCTTTTGCTTTTCATGAGATTCTAGTTGTAGCCAAATCAAAACTTTTTCCCCCCATTCCTCATGAGCAACATCTGATATGTAGGGCTTTTAAAATACTGTCCAAGTTTTTATAGTTTTAACATGCAAGAAGAAAGGTACTCATGCAATTCTCACGGTGATTTTTCCAATCTGATGTCCTTCAAATTGAATTATAGCAATAGCAATAGCACTTAGACTTACATACCGCTTCATAGTGCTTCACAGCCCTCTCTAAGCAGTTTACAGAGTCGGTCTATTCCCCACAACAATATGGGTCCTCATTTTTTCGACCTTGGAAGAATGGAAGGCTGAGTTAACCTTGAGCCAGTCAGGATTGTACTCCTAGCTGGGGGCAGAGTTAGCTTGCAATACTGCATTCTAACTACTGCACTACTATGGCTTTTATGGGAGTTGTATTTGGAGAAGCCTGCAATATGAACGGAAATTCAAACACCACCTAAGAGTTCCTTTCAATGTATGGGGACCCCTTTCTCCATCCCTTTAAAAATCATGTAACATGTATGCAATAAATACTGTATTATGTACAGAATAGCTGACTACTGCCAATTATGAGTGAGGAAATTGTGGTATTTCATAACCATAGTTGAAAACTAATATACTTTGCTTAAAATGCTAATTAGTGTACTTCTGCTTACTCCAACATTTCTTACAGTTTATTTAGAAGTAAATCCTGCTATGTCCCCTTCATTCGAATTGGTTTCGGATTGCAGGAAACCTGCCTCCCTTCATTTGGTAGAAAGCCACAATCAGTCTTCTTCCAGTAAAATATTGTAGAATTGCAATTTGTTGGTATAAGACTCTGGAAGCGATAGACAATATTTGAATGAGAACCTATAACTCCATGTCAAAAACCAGTTTGGTTTAGTAGTTAAAACAACAGATTAGAAACTGGGAGGTTGAGAGTTCTAGTCCTGCCTGAGACACACAGCCAGTTGGGTGACCTTGGGCCAGTCATTCTTTCTCAGCCCTAAGAAGCAAGCAAGTGCATACCACTTCTGAAATGTCGCCAAGAAACTGTAGAGTCCTGTCCAGATAGTTGCCAGGAATCAACACTGGCTCAAAGGCACACAAAAAAGAGAAGAGAAGAGAAGAGAAGAGAAGAGAAGAGAAGAGAAGAGAAGAGAAGAGAAGAGAAGAGAAGAGAAGAGAAAAAGGCTCCATGAGAGAAGATATTTTCATGCAAAAGATTTTGGATTCAACTAGTAAATCAAGACAAAAAAAAGGCTTCACTAAAACTCTTCTAAAATAAAATAAAAACAAATTTTAAAATCCCAGGAAATCAGACCAATGACCTGACTCAGTTTAAATATGTCAGAGTTGATAAACTATAGCCTTTTAATCTTCAGATGCCACATGTAATATGTGGTCAGATGATATCACTGTTATTAATCCTCAGTTATCTTGCTATCTATTCGGATTTCAAAACAGCTGGCATAATGTCAAAAGAATTCTCTTGAAACCAACAGGAAACATATCCAGCAATATTTAGTTTTTAAGTTAAAAACAAAAGAGAGTGGAAAAGACCAGTTTAACAGTTAAATTGGACATAAATAGGAGCAAAGTCATTCCATCTGTCGCTATTCATTTTGGGAACAGTTGTCTGAAGGCTGTTTATAGCCTTCAGTCACTTGTGGAGTTGAGAAGATAGAAGATAGCTATCCATCTCAGAGGGATAGCTCTTTTTTAGCCCTTGCTAGGCACGTTTTAATTTCTTTTTTTTTTTTTTAATGAAAGCAAGAAAGACCCAGCTTCCCAAATGAGCTGAATTTATTAAAAGAACTGAAATAAAAGCTTCAAGAGTCTGGTAATAGCAGATGAAACAGTCATGCATGGTGATTCTGAATTTTAAATACTTTATTAGCTTGTATTAATAATGCAGTTTATCATCTTCCATTTTCCCAATACTGCTTTTATAAAAAAAGAGGAACAAATGATGTATTTTCTAATAAATGTTACTAGTATTTATTTTATTTTTTTTTAAAAAAAGACAAATGCAGGAAACTACAGTATAACTTCCTCTCCCCCTTCTTTCTTTCTGCACATTTACCGACCATACCTTTGGCAAGCTCTTGAGAATACTCATAACAGAATAACAGAGTTGGAGGGACCTTGGAGGTCTTCTACTCCCATCCCCTGCTCAAGCAGGAGACCTTATACCATTTCAGACAAACAGCTGTCCAGTTTCTTCTTGCAAACCTTCAGGGATGGAGCACTCCCAACTTCTGAAGGCAAGCCGTTCCAAGGCTCATCTCCAAGAGTCCGAACCTTTTTACAGCATTCAGCCGGTTATATTCCAGAAGGACATCGACTCCTCTGTCTGGTAGAAATGGAGGTGGGAACATAACACTTACCCCATTGCTGTACCTGAGGTCTTACATGCTCTGGAGTATGCTTGTGGCAGGCCAGCCAGAAGTCTGGGCAGCAGTCAATAGAATCAGGAGGCTCTGAAGTACAAAATTCATCACAGTAGCATGTGGCATTTCTGACATTGTATTGAAAGATGCAGTTGTCATCTCTGCCTGGGCAACAGCCTCTCAGCCAGCAGTAGCTTCTCCTGAGTGGAATTCTCCTGACTCTCTTCCTTCCAGAACAATCTGGAGAACAGTCCTTGTGTAGGGTATTATTTCTGGCGGCAAATAGTTCTTCTGTGCAAATCATGATTGCAAAGCAACATAAAGCTAAACTCCAGGCCCTGGCCCACATTCTTGAGTATAACAACAAATTGCTGTCAGGGTGGCTGCATCTGATGTTGTGAAACTCGGAGCAGGACTGTCTGAAGTGTTTATCTATGTCTACATTGATGTCAAAACTCCTAAAAAAGAAGCCACACAGATTCAGCCTGCCACAGGAACATTCTTGGTGATGGGGAAAACATTTGTACTTTAATCATTAGTCAGAGATGCTATAAAATGCATTATTTATAAAGTTTTTTTTAAAAAAAAACTTAGGCACCATGGGGATGACAAATGCAAGCTGTCTCTTGCAAATGACTGGGAGTCTTTTTAAGATCATTTGGAACAAAACAATTGAGCAAATCCTTATTATAAAGCCATTATATGTGAAGTTTTTTATCAGTGTTTCTTGAGCTTTATCTCTACATAAAACAGCACAGCTTAAAGTATATGAAATTACGGAAATTAAATTAAGACCTAGGGGTACAGTACTTCACTTACAAAGTCAGTTTCTAAGGTTTTGCTTACAAGGAGAGGAGAGAGTGTTAGGGAACATCCTAGTCAACTTCTGGTAAGTAATTGTTGTTACTTGTAGCAACGTGGCAGCCATTTTGTGGCATATATTCAAAATTCTGAGTATGTCCACTAAAAACCTCACATATTTATTTATTATTTATTTATTTTATTTTATTTCTATACCGCCCTTCTCCTGCGGGACTCAGGGCAGTGTACAGCCAAGATAAAACATAACATATAAAATTTAAAAAACACTTTAAAAAACAATTAAATAATTTTGGCCCAAGTTTAAAACAACCCAATTAAAACCGAATTCAATTAAAAACTGAGAGGATGGGATCAAGCCAGCCCGGCTAGATGGAATAAGTGTGTTTTCAGGGCCCGACGAAAAGTCCGGAGGTCTGATATCGTGCATATCTCAGGGGGCAGGTCATTCCAGAGGGCAGGTGCTGCCACAGAGAAGGCTCTCCCCCTGGGGGTCGCCAGCCGGCACTGTCTGGCCGACGGCACCCTGAGGAGGCCCTCTCTGTGTGAGCGAACCGGTCAGTGGGAGGCTATTTGCAGCAGAAGGCGGTCTCGCAAATACCCCGGCCCTAAGCCATGGAGCGCTTTAAAGGTGGTCACCAACACCTTGAAGCGCACCCGGAAGACCACAGAAAGCCAGTGCAGCTCGCGCAGGAGAGGTGTTATATGTGAGCGCCCCGTCGCTCCCATAATCCCCCGCGCGGCCGCATTCTGGACCAACTGCAGCCTCCGGGTGCACCCCAAGGGGAGCCCCATGTAGAGAGCATTGCAGTAGTCCAGGCGGGAAGTGATGAGTGCTTGAATGACCGTGCGTAGGGAGTCCCGATCCAGAAAGGGATGCAACTGGCATATCAGGCGAACCTGATAAAAAGCCCCCCTGACCACGGCCGTCATATGCTCTTCTAAAGACAGCCGTGCATCCAGGAGGACGCCTAAGTTGCGAGCCCTCTCCGTGGGGGCCAGTGATTCGCCCCCAATAGCCAGCAATGGCACCAGCTGGCTATATCGGGATGCCAGAAGCCACAGCCACTCAGTCTTGGAAGGGTTGAGTCGGAGCCTGTTTCCCCCCATCCAGGCCCGCATGGCCTCCAGGCACTGGAACATTACTTCAAGGGCATCATTGGGGTGGCCTGGGGTGGCAACTGATAACTTTCTTCCCCACTTTATTTTTCTTTTCTATATTTTTTCTATTGTTTTATATACAATTTCTGTTCTATTAATAAATAAAGGAGAAAAATACCCACACTGTTATTTAAATGATTATTTGGAGGGTCATTTGCATATGATGGAAGTTCAATTATGTTCCCACTAGTGAGAGGCATCTTGTTGGTGGTAATGAAAACATTATTCAAAGGGAGGAAAGAACCTGAACAGGGACCCTACACATCTTTCAAAGAAATTAGCCCTTGGCCCAAAAGCAGACTAACCACAGAGGACTGGCACATCAGATGGGAAAGTTGTGCCACAAAGACATAGAACTTACTTCACTATTTAGTTCTCCCAGCACAATCAGCTGTTATTTGGGTTGTCCTAGGTCTTTCTCCAAGCCAGCAAATGGCTGAAAACCTGGCAACTGCAGTATTAGAAGAAAGATCAGCTTGAAAGAATCTTATTTTCTCACAGTCCAAACAGATTGCTTTAGGAGCTTTAGTGAAAGAAGTGTTCCCATGGCAGCTTAAAGTGACCGATAGGTTATTTCTCTCTCTTCTATCAATCAATCAATCAATCAATCAATCTCATCTCCATCCATGCATCCATTTATCATCTACTAATCTCCCTAGATGTGCAAAACTGCACCACTGACAAAATGTGTATCTGGTTGTATCCAAAGCAACAGCAGAGTCTTGATAATTTAACCTATGTTCTGCCAAATTTCATGCCAGAAATGACAATAAATGTTGACTCACCAAACCCATAACCCGACAAGCAGCAAAAGCTCACAGGCACAACATATTTATATGAATTGCTTTATTGAACATAAGATGAAGCCTTGGGCTTTATGTAAAAGATCTGTGTGTTGAATATGTGTGTTTGCTCCATGATTTAAAACCTAGGTTTTCTCTACCTCCCTCCCTTTCCAAGTCAATGCATAGTTTGCCTTTCTCTTCAAAGTCATGGGAAGCAGGCTTTGTTGACATAACAGTTCTCACTAGTTTGGGAAATCCTGGTGCCTACCTCACTAGCTGCATTTCAAGTGCTATTGCTAAAGATAATTGAGGCATGGACCTTATGAAATCAATCTCATGTGGACACAGCAGGAAAAAAAAGATTGCTGAGCATGTATGAATTGCACTGAAGTGCAAATGGAGAAGGATCTTGTAAGTGACAAATGTAAAAGGAAAACATCTTCTTTTAGATCACGTTTCATTTTACAGATCATATCCCTCTCCTTCCCCTTCCTACCCACACTTGCCTTTTTCCCCCTAAATTAAAAATGAAACATCTTCATAAGTGCTAAATTTAATTCTGAGGGGCATAGTTCCTCCTCTTTGATCATTTTGATTCTCCTTTTCTTCCCCATTTCCAGGCTTATAATAAAATCTATATTTTACACTTTCATCAGAAAAGTATAGACGAGAAGTTGTAGAAGAAAGAGAAACTGCTTGTTGTAGACTACACTTCTTTTATTTTATTCATAGGCATGGCCAACACTCTTTTTAAAAGATGCAGCATCATTCAAATATAACAAGAGCAACAAATCCAGCTGGGTGCTTAAGGATTCCAGAGAAGAGGAGTTCTTCGTATTGATGCATGAGTAAACACTGCCCCTGAATATTTAAACAAGATGAAATCCCAAGACCACATTTTAAAACCAATGGTCTAGGTCCAAGATTTACTATGTTTAAACCAACAAAGCAAAACACTGCATCTTCTCCCACAATTGTGTCACTTGACCTAGCTATTAAAAAGCAAGTCGGCCCAACGACAAATTTTACAAATGGAAAAGTGAAAAGAGCAGCCAAGAATGCATGCCAGTTCTTGAAGTCCATTGCTGTTTTGATGTTTATCCTAATTGTATTTTGGATTAACTTTCCCTATGGTGGGCAATTTCCTAGAATCTCTTTATTCTGAGGGAGTTTCCTCAGCCTTCTTGGCCATTTAATATATCCCTCTCCCCTTAAGGCATACTATTATAATCCATCTTTAAATCACAGTTCAACATCAGTTAACACGATTCCTCCAACATTATATTCCTTATGCATACTATTCCTTTCCTTTCGGGTTATATGTACACCTGTTATGGGCCAAACACTGAAGAGAATATGTAGGCCAGCTAGTGGAGATAAAGGACTTCCCAAGATAAGGGAAGAAGGGTCCCTGAACTGGTATGCAATCAGTCACAACTTCCATGTTGGGAATTGAGTGTTGTGATGCCCCACCTTTTTTGATAGAGAGAGAGAGAGAGAGAGAGGAGAGAAAGAGGGAGGGAGGGAGGGAGGGAGAGATGGGAGAATGGGATAAAACCAGTTTCAAAACCAACTTGCAACAAAACAACCTGCCATTGCTGACTCATGGCCTAGACCAGGGATTTTCATATTTTTCAGGCTATGGAATTTGTTAGGTAAAAAGAAAATCCCTGGAGCCCTTCTGCCTCAGAGACAGAAAGTGAGGGGTCTTCACAAGGACAAATTCCCCTGAGAGATTGGGGCTTTTCGGTGATAACTGATAAACCCTACCCTTTCTATTGCATCTTTGAAAAATTGCAATGGATGCCCTTGGCTGTATTTGAGTGAACTTTTTTTCCCCTCTCATAGTCTCTTATAGGTCCCAACAATTTTTGTTGGACCTTAAAATTCCAGGGACTGGGGTTTGAAAAAGCCCGGACCAGGCCTTTCTTTTCTTTAAAACACCCTGGCAACCTCAGTTTTCTCCCAGCCTTAGACGTTAGCCTTGTCACACCCTCAAATTGTGATTAACATAGTTTAACCCAGTTTTTCCAATATTTTAAAATATCCACCAGCAAAAAGAACACAGAGGACAATCGTTATGCTGTCAGCTTTTTCTGTTCTTGCATCAATGGCTGGATTTCACCAAGGATCATTGATGTATGTATGTATGTACACATGTGTGTGTTTATAATTTCATTTAAACATTTAAAAACAAAGGTAAAAATGAATGCAAACTAATATAGAATAAGGAAGAAAAACAGAAAGAAAGATAAAAGAAAACTAAAACAACAGAAAATACCTTTTCAAGTCAGGTAAATCCAAGCCTCTTGTATCATTTGCATCTTTTAATATCTTATATTTAATTTGAAATGCAGTTAGGCCTTCCGCCCTGTATTAAATTTGTACAAGAAGGCAATTTCTTCAAATCCCCCCCATTCTGGAGACTGTCTATAACCTGAAGACCAGGAACAGCTTTGCCTTTAGTTCTAATGCAGTCCTTTTCCAAATATTCTGTTTATAGTAAACCACCAGTTTAGATATCTATTGTTAAAATCATGATTCAAGTAATATTCTTATTCAGCTGTTCCCATATACAAATATGAGTAGTGTAAAAACAGGGTTGTGGCATTTTCCTGTCTGCCCCACACTTTGCTTCTGCCCACTGGAATGTGGCACATCTGGTTCTCTATGAGGTGGTTGTCCAGTTGTGGGGCTCCGGATCTGAGGGAAAGCCTCTGTTTTTGCTCTTTTTGTGCATTTCGTCTGATGTATGGATCAGAAGAATGCGTGTCTCTACTAGAGAACGGATTATTCAGTACTCGATTCTTCCTGAAGTATTTAGGAGAATGCCTGAATGAGGCTTTAGAAAAGGTCCTAAATTACTATGCTCATGAAACACAGGAATTTTGGATTCCATCCGGAAAAACGATCTTTGCAGGAAAGAAGGAAATGGTGGACATTTCTGAATACTTTTAGAAAACACTGGGCACACAACCTGAGGCTGACTTACAGCAATGATAACTTCTAGATACCAAAGTTCAAATAGGAGAATTGCTGGCCAATTCTTCTAGCCAGTAATCAATAGACGTAACAACACATAAGAAATGTTTTGTACAATATATAGTTTCATTTTATTTCTTTTGAAAACATTACGTGATTTTTGCAACCATTTATTTAGTGACCATTCAAAGTTTCAACAGTACTGAAGCAGGTAATATCATCAGTGCTAGTAAAGAGTGGGAGAAAGGAAACCCCACTCCTTACTAGCACTGATGATGTTACGTAGGTGGGGTAATAAATGTCTGCAGGAAAACAGCTAAGCTCAGAGAGCACCAAAGAACCCCGCAATGAAAGATGTTTAGGATTAGGGTGTAAAGCAAAAATTGCTAAAAAGAAGATAAAATAAGACATGAATTTGGCCAAGTGACAAAAGAATAATTTGCTCATCCAGCAACCGATTCTTACTTGTTTCTTGCAAATTAGCCAAACTGCAATTAAAGCAAACCAGTGCTAAGCATGATGCGTGCAGCAGGTTTATGATGAGACAGTCTTTATAATCCAGTTGTGAACTGTTATAGAGTTCAGGTTCACCAGTGATGAACACCAGTCTTCCTGGGCATTTCTTTTTGCACCTCCACATTACCCATTTTACTGGGCTTGCAGCATTTAAAACATGAAATATATATAACGTTCAAGAAATACTTAACATTACCTTGGTTTTTTTTTAAAAAAAAATCTAAAATGTTAAAAAGCAAAATGACGGTCTCCAGCACCTTCTTTCGTTTGAGCAGGCCTCCAAAAGATCCCAAGCATTATTAGAAATTCAAAACAATAACATTATTAATATCTATTATTGGATCGAGTCACATTGTCCCGCATGCATTGTTACTGAATTTGGATGCATTTCGGAGGCTCACAAATATGGAGATACAGTACTTTCACCACAGCAGCTGGTATTTAAGGCACAGTGATTCCAGAGCCTAAAAACTATTCCAGGACCACAAGAAGTAGTAGCTACATGGCATATTTAGATGTCAGATCTTTATGGCTATAACTTAGCTGAGATTTGCAAAATTATTTCTTGAGCTTCTGCTGAGTGGAGAGTGACCTCTTTGGTGTGGACTTTCAGTGTCTAGAAAATTTCCTTCATTTAAGTCTTCTTGGTAGGGTGGTTTGTCTTTTCTTCTGACCGAAGAAAGCTGAAAAGAAATCATATGTCAAATGGGTCCTGTGTGAGCACAGCCAAGTGACTTCTTGATCGTGGTTTTGAGGAGCAGTCAAGAAAAGTATCTGATTTGCTTACATCACATCCACAGAGTGTGTTTGTTTTTGCTGGAATTATAATACAGTTTTGACGACAAGTTAGTAAGAGTACCATAGACTGAAAGAAGAATCTATTAAACAGTCCTGGACCAAATAAAGTCTAAATCAGGGTTGTCCAACCTTGGCAACTTTAAGACTCGTGGACTTCAACTCCCAGAATTCCCCAGCCAGCCATGGGAATTCTGGGAGTTGAAGTCCACAAGTCTTAAAGTTGCCAAGATTGGACACCTCTGGTCTAAATAGTCCCCTGAGATTTTGATCAACAAACAAAAACAAATGTACATTATGCATATGATCAAGCAGATGATTATACTTTTTTTACAAAATGACAGATTAGAAAAAAAATAACTTTATTGGCTTATTGGCAGGCAGAGCCTGCTTCCTTTGCTTCCCAAACTAATATTAATTCATAACACTGCATGCTTTCAGAACTGGAAAGTGGTTTACCTCTTTAGAACTGAGTGCTTCATTTTCAGGAATAGGCACAATAGGATGAGTGGTCTGCAAATGGAAATGTCAAGAACATTAAAAGGCAACCAGAGTAGTCATGATGACATAATAATGGCATAACATTAAAAAAAAAAGCACTTGGCAAATTGAAAACTAAAGGCCAGTACAATCCGCTCCTAATATCCTCATTATGAATGGCTGTCGGAGGACTTATTGATGATGCTATCAGGAAAATGCCAGATGGTGTATTTGTGCAGACATCAGGCTAGAGTTGTTGGAACTGTGTCTCCTTATGTGCAGAAAGAAACAATTTTGCCCTTGCTTCCAGCAATAGCTAACGATTGAAAAAAGGACATTATTTTTCCTTTCATTGGGAAAGCGTCTTGAACAAGAAAAGGTAAAAGGTAGTTTTCTCCTGTCCAATCGTGTCTGACTCTAGGGGGCGGTGCTCATTTCCATTTTCCAGCCAAGGGAGCCAACATTGCCCAAAGATGCTTCTGTGGTCATGTGGCTGGCATGACTATACACGAGGTGCACGTAATGTAGTTACCTTCCTACCACGGTGGTACCTATTTATCTATTCACATTTGCATGCTTTTGAGCTGCTAAGTTGGCAGGAGCTGGGGCAAGAACAGGCGCTCCTCCCATCATGCGGTGCTTGGGTCTCGAACTGCTGACCTTCCAGTCGACAAGCCCAGCATCTTAACCACTAGGATACCACGCGGCTTAGATCTAAACCAGAAACTTTTCCCTGAAAGAAAGAAGGAAACTGAAAAGAAGCAAGACCCTCTATGTATGACATTGACATTGATGTCACCCATTTTGGAAAGTCAAATCAATCTTATTTTCACTTATTTGAAAATTGCAATACTTCTATTTGTGATTTGTGATCCTGAAGGTTTGTGAGGTTTATATGTGCGAGGCTATTTTCCAATCCATTAGCACTCTTGCTTCATCCCACCTTGGCTGCTTGAGTTTTGAAGCTTTATAATAGATTTCACAGGGAACCTAGCCAACAAATCTGATCTTAACCTTAAACCTTCTAAGTCTCTTTTACATTCCCTGGGTTTTGTTTTTTTTTAAAAAAAGATGCTTATAGGAACTGCTGAATTGATTTTTCCTGCTTATATAACTAATTATATTTATCAATGTCCTGCCTCATCTGTTTTCCCAGCCTTTTTGACTCGTGAACTATTATTTTCTCACCCACAAATATGCACACATTGAAGATCAGGCTGTAATCTATATGCCTAGTTGCTGTTTTTAGGGAGAAAAATCTGGCTGTAAAGTATAGGGTCTTGCTCCTTGGTTTCTGGAGGAGGTAAAAGACAAGAGAGACTTCTAGAGCAGTGTTGGAGAATAGAATAGAATAGAATAGAATAGAATAGAATAGAATAGAATAAGAAGAATAGAATAGAATAGAATAGAATAGATAGAATAGAATAGAATAGAATAGAATTTTTTTAAAAAAACAGATTAAACCAGGCATCGGTAAGAGCCCATATTATGAATTACATCATGGGAATAAGAGTAGAAAAATGTAGTTATCCACACACATAACCACATATCAATCCTGTTTAAAGTGACTCATTCCCTGCTGGGAAGGAATCACAAGACTACCTGCAGGCTGTTATGAAGACTACTCTAGGCATCTAATGGATAAAATTGCTCAGATCCACTGAGGTGCTGAGATCCAGTTGATGTGATCAAGGCATAGATTTGTTTTGTTATGTGGGAAATGCTTGGCTCTGTGACTCTTGAGGGAGTGGACAGGGCATGCTATCCAGTCACCTGTTTAATTAAAAGATGTTCCTCCTGATCTCCTGAGAGGTGGCATGTGGTTAAATCCATGCAACAGTGAATTTATCCTTGAGAAGAGGATTGTTTCACTTGGCTTGAAGAAGGCAATGGTGTGCTCACTTGCTCTCAAGAAGCCATCATTGGATTCAATGGACAGCCTGGAAGAAATGAATTACCTGGGCTCATTTCAATTGGATTTCAAGCCAAGCATAGTAGGGAATTAGTATTGATCACACTTGTCGGTAACCTCTGGTGGAGCTAGGGCAAGGGTGGTGCAACTCTCCTGTTTTTTCTTATATCTCAGCAGTTTCAATATACTAATCATGGTATTCTTCTAGACCATCCATGGAGTTTGGAAGGAGGAGTCCTGGTGCTGGAATGTTTTTTCTTTCTCTGTGGTCAGTTGCAAATGTTGACAAGTATCAAGAAATCTAGTTTGAAGCCACCGGGTAGTGAGATACCTCAGGGCTCAATGTGCTCAACTTTTCTGCTTAACTTCTAAATGACACCCTTGAGCAAAGTCATCTGTTGATATGCGATCAGGTACTATCAGTATGTTAATGGTTCTCAACTAAACATTATAATCTCTGGTCACCCAAATAAGATGATTGAGATCATATCTCAATCCTGGAGATTGTACCAACTTGGGAAGGCAAGATTAAATTCACCATGAAGAGACTGGGTAGCTATGTTTGCATGATTCTTTTGATGTCAGTGAATTTTCATCTTTGATTCTAAATGGGGTGGCACTTCTCCATTCAGAACCAGAACAAGCAATTTGAATGTAGTCCTGGCTCCTATTCAGTGAGCAGGTAGCAACTTGGCCACGAGAACCTTCACAAAGAACATCTGGTGTCCAAATTGCTCTACTTCCTGGGTCAGAAGTCCATTCTCATAGTCACTCATACCTGAGTAACCCCACATGTAAATTATTGCAATGGCTTTAAATAGGGTTGCCCTTGAAGAACACTCAGGATCTACAGCTGGTTCAGAACACAGCAAAATAAGCAATGCATCTCAGAATACCCCTGCTAGTCTAGCTGTAATGGTTATCAGTAGCTTCTGGGTGCAATTCAAGGTGTCAGTTATTATCTACAAAAGCCTTCATGGCACGGCTATCGGAGAGATCACCATTTTTGCATTTCTGCTTGTCCTATAAAATCCAACAAGATATGCATGTTTCACGTACCCTTCATTAAAGAAAGTCACCTGCTGGGCCCAAGGAGCGCATCTTTTCTGTGGCAGCACTTTCCTTCTAGAGAAGGGATGTCCATAATTCCCCAGCATGGCTGGCTGGGGAATTAAGGGAGTCGAAATCCACTATTCTTAAAGTTGTCAAGTTTGGAGACCTTTATTTAGAGTAATGTCTCACCTAGAGTTCAGACTATCTCACTCTGCAAACCTTTAGGCAATATTTTAAAAGCTGGGTTCCTACTCCCTTACTTCCAAAGTTCTGGGATAGCTTAGTAGTGTGCCCAGTTGATCTATAGGTGTATGTTGTATTTATTTTGTGTATATTGTAGGTATTATATTATATTTTAATTGTATGCCACCTAGCGTCAATGTTGAGTTGGGCAGCCATATAAATCTAAATTTTAAATAAATAAATCATACTTCTTAAGTATGATTTATATACAGATTTATATACAGGAATAAAATTAATAGAGATTCCTCATAACCTAGCTCAAAAATGACAAACATAAGCAGCAGTAATTTCATTGAGAATAACAGGAATAAATGAGAATAAATTTCGTCTGGAATTCAATTGAAATACATTCTTTATACTAATTGTGCAATAATCATGGTCTGGAGATTCAGAGCCTAAGGCATTGCTGTTGGATGGGGCAGGCACATTATTATTATTGTTGTTGTTGTTGTTGTTGTTGTTGTTGTTGTTGTTGTTATTATTATTATTATTATTATTATTATTATTATTATTATTAAGTTCTTTTTATCACTGATCTACTTATTTCGGGTTTAGTGCTTGTATTTTATTGGGTTTTTGATGTTTATGTTTATTACCTTAAATGGCCAGAAATTCTTACTGATTTGGTAGTATGGAAATATGCCCACCAAACAAAGAAATTCTCTGCAGGCCTAGGGTTTGTTTTTTTTCTAGATAAAGGACACCAAAGTAATTTTTCCCCCAAATATATTATTATGAATCTTTAGGGACGTGGTCTCCAGATAGGTAAGCCAGAAATTTAAGAATTATACATGTGACAAAAGAAAGGCCTGGACAGCCTTATAAGTATGGTTAAAATTGAGAAATAGGACAAGAAAAATAGGAACAAAAGAGAAAAAAAAGGACAAAATAACTACAAAAATTTAGGAAGAGAATAGGGAAGTCCTCTTTAACAATGGATGCAGGAGAGAGAAATTCTGCTGAATTATGAAGTTTAAAAATCCACTTTAAGGACTGAGGTAAATTCCAATTGCTTGAAAACAGTATTTAGATAATTTCTACTACTAAATATCACTACAGTTTGTTGGCTAAGAAAAATAAAACCTAGTGATGATGATGATGATGACGAGGAGAGGGAGGGAGGGAGGGAGGGAGAGAAAATATAATTATGCTGCTTTCTTTTAGAATAGAATAGAATTACAGAGTTGGAAGGGACCTTGGAGGTCTTCTAGTCCAACCCCCTGCCCAGGCAGGAAACCCTACACCACTTCAGACAAATGGTTATCCAACATCTTCTTAAAAATTTCCAGTGTTGGAGTATTCACAACTTCTGCAGGCAAGTTGTTCCACTGATTAATTGTTCTGTCAGGAAATTTCTCCTTAGTTCTAAGTTGCTTCTCTCCTTGATTAGTTTCCATCCATTGCTTTTTGTTCTACCCTCAGGTGCTTTGGAGAATAGTTTGATTCCCTCTTCTTTGTGGCAGCCCCTGAGATATTGGAACACTGCTATCATGTCTCCCCTAGTCCTTCTTTTCATTAAACTAGACATACCCAGTTCCTGCAACTATTCTTCATATGTTTTAGCCTCCAGTCCCCTAATCATTTTTGTTGCTCTTCTCTGTACTCTTTCTAGAGTCCCAACATCTTTTTTTTACATCGTGGTGACCAAAACTGAATTCAGTATTCCAAGTGTGGCCTTACTAAGGCATTATACAGTGGTATTAACACTTCATGTGATCTTGATTCTATCCTTCTGTTTATGCAGCCCAGAACTGTGTTGGCTTTTTTGGCAGCTGCTGCACACTGCTGGCTCATATCTAAATGGTTGTCCACTAGGACGCCAAGATCCCTCTCACAGTTACTACTATTGAGCAAGGTACCACATATACGGTACCTGTGCATTTTGTTTTTCTTCCCTAAATGTAGAACCTTACTTTTTTCACTGTTGAATTTCATTTTGTTAGATAGCGCCCAATGTTCAAGTCTGTCAAGATCCTTCTGTATATCTTCTGGACTGTTGGCTATTCCTGCCAGCTTGGTGTCATCTGCAAATTTGATGAGTTCCCCATCTATCCCCTCATCCAAGTCATTGATGAAGATGTTGAAGAGCACTGGGCCTAAAACAGAGCCCTGGGGTACTCCACTGGATACTTCCCTCTATGTAGATGCAGTTCCATTGAGGACTACAAGTT